ATAAGTTCAGATTTAACATTAACTCAAAAAAAAATTTTTTTAGAGTTTCCTTCCTTTCTATTGCAAAGCTCCCATATGTTGAGTTAAATTGGGAAATCGATTTGAAACAATTTGCAATATGTCAAGATTATCAAACAGAAAATCAACTGTCTTATTTTAAAAAATGTATAGATCACTATAAGTCCTAGATTCTATTTGTAATATATATCATCAAGCAATGGCACTGAAACTTATGTGACCATATGTAAAAAGTCATACTAACCTCTCAATTGAAGGATATTTAGCTTGGATCAAAGAACAGTAAAATCCACTTTATCAGCTAAAATATGAACAAATATTTGTTTATCTTCAGACAATCATCAATTATCGAAAAGCCATAAAAACTAACAATCCATTTTTAAAAAAAGCTGCTAAAAGGTTATTCTCTCCAATTTGGTTTGCAAAACGTCATCCAATTTACCGCCTAATAGAAGTTTTTGATGAAGTGCAATCAATGCGGCTCCACCCAGAAATATATGAGATCATTAAAAAAATAGTGTTGTATCTAGATGAGACCTTTATGAACAGCATCAAGGGTTAGATGTGATTATTGTGAAAGTAAACAAGGCCTTGAAATCTTTGATTCCTCCTGTCCCTTAATATCATCATTGGAAAATTGCAGCACAAAATTGTAAAAAATTTATTGAACTTATAAATAATTTATTTAAACTAATCGGATATAATGATTCTACATTAGGACCAAGGACTCAGCCAGAAGCAATAATGGAATATCAAAGATTTCGTGTCAAACTGAGGGGTCATGAATTCATTAATTCTATAAATACAAGAACTATTTATCAAAGCCTAGGAGGGGGAATATGAATTGAACGCAAATTTAAATAATTTCACATATTTAGCAAAACAGGCTCGAAAAAATTATATTACTATGTATTTATTAATAAAAAACCATCTCCTTTTTTTAGGCCAATACCGATTACAAAACAAGAAGCAGATACGCAAGTAAATGAAAAAAATATGACCAAAGCAGAAATTTTATTAAAGATTAAAACTCTTCTTGAACAACTTGGTAACTATATTCTCGATCTGCATTATATAAAATGTCACGCCAAAAGTTAGTAAAAATAGAATAACTTGGTCATTTCCTAAAGAATTAGTATTCTAATTGAAATTTTGCTTTATTTTTCAATTAATTACAAAAAAAAATTTTTTATTTGATATTTTTATTGTAAATAAGTAAATAAAGTTTTTGTATTTTTCATTTATTTTTAATTTTGACTAATTTTCTGAATTGCAGATTTTTAAGTATATATTGATCAGAACGCTAATATTTCTAAAGATACATTCTGATATAGTTACAGAATTGTTGCAGTATTGATGCAGTATTAGCGTGGGAATTTATTAATAAAATATGTTATAGTCGCGAAGTTATCACGGTATAGCTTATAACAATATGATCTTTGTGACTCCGCAATTAACGCTTTGTAAAAAATTTATCAATTTCATAACACATGATACAGTCATTCTAATGCGAATTTATCCGAAAATTATATAGAAAGTTATTAGCATATAGCATAGTAACAATTTTAAGAGGGTAAAGAGTATATTAGCTAAGAATTTATTTGAGAAAACAAATAAACAAATACAACTACAATAATATTATTATTAAAAAAAAACTTGGAAGGCAAGTAAACTATAGTTAGCAAGCGTGTATGTCAATGCAAAATTAAAATTAACAACATTGAGTAAACTATGGTTAGCCAAAGCATATATTGCCCTATGCATCAAAATAAGTTAGTATGGAGTATAATGAGAAGAATGTGACGAATAAACAAAATGAAACTATTTGCTTCTCTACCGCAACTGAGTATCCAAGAAGCGCCATGACATTTGGACCTCTTCTAAACGATAGGCCAAAGCTTGATTTTGGTCCTTATATCCTTTCAGAAGCTTAAGGGAGTCTTCATATTTTTTGCGGGCAGAAGCGTACTTACCATTCCTATTGTTTAACTCCTTTGGAAGAGAGGACAGTCATTCTAAAGCTTCTGATAATGCAACTACTTCTTTATGATACTCTATAAGCAACAGTAAGGAAGAATTAACTTGATATTGAAGGGTCTCCTTTTCTTTTTCTTGTTCTTCTTGTTTCTTTTTCCGTTCACGTCGAGTAAGATTGACAAAAAATCTTGAGCATTGAATCTTAGTCATGGCGAAAAAGTAAAAAAGTTAGAAAAGTAGCAATCTTGTAAACCACGATGATCAACAAAACAGCAAAATACAGAAATACAGAAATAGCACTTGTTGATCATTTCTAATTTTGAAGTGATCTGCAAATTTCTTTGAATTTCTAGAATGTCGATCATTTGTAGATCATTGAATTTTTTTTTTAAATCTCTTCAGTTTTCTGGTTTGGAAATACTTACGATATTTGATAAGTTTATTTTCAGCTGTATATTGTTATTTTTGGTTATTTTATTTTTTGCATATAAAGCAATAAAAAAGAAGATATTGTTATTTTTTTATTAAGAAATTAAAAAAAAAATTATTTATATCTCAAATTGATACTAAATTATTATAACCAGAGCCTTAAATACAGAAATAGCCTTTACAAAGTTTTGGGATAAGACTATTTCTCCCATGCAAGTTTTAATTCTATTTTTATTTATATATAAGTATAATTCAGCAAGATAAAACTGAATTTGTATTTATATTTTCTCTTTTAATGCAATTTACAGTGAGATAAAACTGTGTTTTGTATTTAATTTCTTATATTTTTTTTCAACAATTTTTTATATAAGTATAATTCAGCAAGATAAAACTGAATTTGTATTTATATTTTCTCTTTTAATATAATTTACAGCGAGATAAAACTGTGATTTGTATTTAATTTCTTTTTTTTTTCAAGTTTTTTATATAAGTACAATTCAGCAAGATAAAACTGATTTTGTATTTATATTTTCTTTTTTAATACAATTTGTAGTGAGATAAAACTGTGATTTGTATTTAAGCTTTTTATATTTTTTATATTTTTTTTTAATTTAAAATAAACTATTATGACTACTGAATTAATTGGAATCAAAAAATCCAAATCTTGTTTAGCTTTTACCAAAGCAAATTCCTTGCCAAATCATTTATACCT